GGAAAGGACTTTGTGATGGGAAGCTGTTGGGAGGAGGTCATAAGAATGCACTTGAGGGCTGGGGGTGTTCAGCCTGGAGATGGCTCTGGGGAGACATCTGTGTGTCCTCCTAGTATTTAAAGGGAGCTTATAAACAGGAGGGAAGAGTGACTTTGTATGTGTCTGAGAGTGATAGGAGAAAGGGGGGGGGGGTGGCTTTAAACTAAAGGGAGATTTGTATTAGGTGTTGAGGGAAAATTTTCAGCGAGAGAATGGTGAGACTCCAGCAGTGCTGCCCAGAGCTGTGGGTGCCCAAGGCCATGGATGGGCCCTGGGCAGCCTGAGGTGGTGTCTGGTTTAGCAATTGTTAACCCTGCCTGCAGCAGTGGGTTGGAACTACATGATTTCTGAGGTCCTTTCCAATCCTTGCCATTCTACCATCAGCCCTTGCTATTAGGGGAGTGAGATAATTTTTTTCCCCCACTTGGTGCATCCACCCAGCTGCGAGCTTACAGGCAGCACCTCACCTGCCAACACCTGTAGCATCAAACCTCAGCACACAGAGTTCAGCAGAAGGGGGGGGGGGGGGAAAAAGAGGAATTGAAGCCTGAAACATTGCTCGTTTGAATACACGTGGAGCTGCCCTGCTGTCGGGCTGGGAGGGCGCTAGGACCCGGCTGTGCCCCCGCCCCGGCCCTTCCCTTCAGCCGCACTCCCGCTCGGGGGACTTTCAGTTTTGGCTGCGCTGCGTCTTTTTATTTAATTTTTTATTTTTTTTTCTCCGTGGAGGGGGGTGAAAAAAAGGTTAAAAATAAACAGTAAAAATAAAAACACCGCCGCCGACCCCGAAACCGCGACAAAAGTCTTAAAGTGTCAAGATGGTGAAGACGGGATGAGAGGAAAAAGAGAGGCAGCCATGGCAGCCAGGCGGGTGTTCCACCTCCAGCCATGCGGTGAGCGGCAACACCAGTGCGATGAGTGTTACGGCACATGGGGGGGAAAAGGGGCTGAGGGGGGGGGGTGCCCCCGGTTTGTCCCCTCGTTAGGGATGGGGAGATGGGGGGCGGGGGGGATGCCGGCAGTGCGATGCGTGGTGATGGGATGCAATGGGATGCGTGCTGGTGCCCTGCTCTTGGAAGGGGTTTTCTGGGGGAGGAAAGTGGGAGAAACTTGGCTTTGCGTCATTGTTTTGGGGATTTTTTTTATGGGAGCCGGCTGTTGTTTTGAGGAGGTGATGACACTTTGCATCTGGGCTCGTTGGACAGCACCGAGCGGGCACGGGTTTGGGGTGGGTGAACTCAGGGGGCACAAATACAGCGTGGAAGAGGATGAAGGAGCGATTTAAATTCGGGACCTTTTGTTGTTCTGGGTGTCTTTTTCCCCTCTTTGTGTGCTTTGTTTATACCTCAAATGGGAGGAGGGCATGGCTTGCTGTTAGCTCCACTCCAGCTCTCTGTTTGCGGATGCGGTCGTTTGGCTTCACTTTGGCAACGGTGTAATTAATAGTAATAATTAAAAACAATGAAGTTAAGCAGCTTGAGCTGAACGATCAGAGGTACTCGGACAGCGGTGCTTGTTGGCAGGACCCCAGCAATGTGTTTGTGAGCTCCAGTTTGCAGTGCTTGCAACCGGGTGGATTTAAATGCACGTTGAGTTGCGCTCTTTGGCTTTTGCTCAACTTTTAAGTTACCTTTTGCTGTGTTTTTTCCCCCCCCCAGTGCCTTCCCACAGGGAGTGCTTCCTTACTCAGCGTGGCTGCATTCGTGCTGATTTGTCACTAAATTAAATGACGGGGAGTTGAGTTTGCATAGAGAAGTTCGTTCTGGTGGAAAAGCAACTGTAGGTGGCACAACAGCTTTGCCTGCAAAGCTGTAATCGGGGAGAATGGGCTATAGATTTCACTCTGGGATCTCAGCCTGGGGAGGGAGGGCTGTACCTCTGTTTAAGGAAGGAAAGAAAGGTTGCTTCAGTTCTGATGCATTTCCTGAAAACTTCCTGTACTGTTGTTTTTTGTGTCCAGGGCTGTCATTATGAGGACTTGATGGTGAGGGCTGACCAGCAGCAAGATGCACACAAGCAGTGCCTACTTGGGAGCATATAGACTCTTTCCAAGCTGCTGTGATGTCTTCCTATGCAAGATTTCTCTATAAACCTTTGGGTTTTCTCGAGTTGTAAGTGTAGCCTTATCTCTCCTGAGTATAGTTCCCATCCCACAGAGTGTGGCTGAAGTAATAAACTGCTTGACCCATGGGTTGTGCAAGGCCAGCAGCATTTCAGCCACCTCACCTGGGCTGCTGTTGAAGTTGGTTCTGGGGCTGTTCAGTTCTTGGGTAGGTTTAGGTTAGAAGGAAATGGTGATGCAATGCTTTCACTCTTGTCAACCTCAGTCACTGCTGCCATCCCTGCATGCTGTTGTTTCCCTGCTGTAACTGGGATGCGTTGGCCAATCCGTTGTGGCCGCAGCTTCTGGTTCTGAAACATCTGTGGCTTTTGTGTGGTTGCCTCTCCACAAGAGTTCTGTACCACAGTGGAAGTTCCTCTCTGGCTCTCCTGTTGTTCCTTGGCAGTTGGAGCACTTCAGCTCATTTAAACGAGCAGAGCCTAAAGTGTGAGTGGGGCTTTTCACTGTGGTGCTCACTTGACTCCCCAAGTGGCAAAGAAGAGCTGTGTTTAAACCCAGAGTGTCTGGACTTACAGTAAAAGCTATAATAAATCACTTGAGGCTATAAATGGTCCTTAAAGCAAGCTTCACCTTTGAGTTGATATCCTTGGGGATCCTTCCAACCCAAGCCATTCAATGATTCAAAGAAAAATGAGGGTGACTTGTTTTGGATTCTTTCAAAGCCAGAAGCACCCTGTGCAACCTCCAAAAATATGTTTTGCTGGTAAGTTTGGTGTTTCTTGCTGAAGGGAGCTGTGAGGTTTGATTGGTGCCTGTTAGACCCTATGGAATGTTGAAACTTTAAATGTTGCCCTTGCTGAGCCATAGTGATGCTCTGCGTGTGGGCTTTATGCCTAAAGACGACTCCAAAACTGTATCTAAGGAGAAATCTCACTTATTTCTTTTTCCCTACTGAGTTATTCTCGTACTGTGCTTCTCTAGGAAGCCCCAGTGACAGCTATGCTATCCAAAAGCTTTCAGTGACTTGAGCTTAGGTGTCACCGGAGCTACCGAGCATGCTCCAAGTGCAAAACCACTTCTGGAGAAGTCCCATTTCCTTCTGTGGGATTTCTCTGGGAGTAAGCAAGTCTGGGATGCTTTAATGACTTGTCATTGTGAAACTGTCATCCACCCTGTAAACACGCAGATGGCTGCCAAGTGCAGCAGATATCCAGCATGTGTTCCATCCCAGCTACCTTTGTGGTGGCTGAGCACGGCACGGTGCCGTTGCTGCTTTGGGAGCAGGGGGTCCTCTGCAATGATGCACTGCAAAAAGGTTGGAAACACACAGAGTTGCTGAGGCTGTTCCTTCAAGTTCATCTGAGTGCAAGCAGGGTTTTGTGACTTTGCAGAGCATCTCCTTCAGGAATCTGTGCTGGGACTGGGTGAAATGGGAGAACTTTTCTCAGTGCAAAGTCACTTCCTAGATATGGTTCTAGCATAAGCTCTCCATGAAGCCCTTGTGCTGAGCATGGTGATGTGCTGGCCCAGGAGCAGAGCCCTGCATCTGTCAGTGCTGGCTTTGATATCAAAGCGCTCAGCTGACACTTCTAACTGGGTTTTTCTATTCCTCCTTTCTGAACTCACCCCTGGCTCTAACCTGCGATTAAATCAGTGAGAAGTTGGATGTCCCTCCATTATTGAGGAAGAGTCTGTGTTCCTGGTGAGAGCTGTGGTTTGGGTAGGGCGCAGGGAACAGAGGGCATTTTGGGCGTCTCTGATTTGGAGAAACTGCAAGAAGAGGAAGGGAGAAAAGCCACTGGAGTGGGTAGCATTGGTGTCACACTTGAGCTTTCTTCCTATGGGTGCTTTTGAGCTTCCCAACTTTGAAGCTGATGCAAACTGCAGCAGTCTGGCTTGCAAGGCTGGAACTGCATGCATCCTTATGGCTGCCCTATGGTGGGGTGGACGGGAACAGTTGGTAATGAGGGAAATTCATTGATCTGAATCTCATCTGGGCAGCTTTTTTGAGACACTGTGCATAGAATCACAGAATCACAGAATTGTAGGGGTTGGAAGGGACCTCCAGAGATCATCGAGTCCAACCCCCCTGCCAAAGCAGGTTCCCTACAGCAGGTTGCACAGGTAGGCAACAGGTACGCATAGGTAGAATCATAGCATCATTATGGTTGAGATAGACCTCTAAGATCACCAGCCCCAACCCAACCATGCCCGTTGACCATGGTAACAGATAAACAACCTTCAGTGCCGCATCTCCACAGCTCACAACACCTGCAGGGATGGTGATTCCCCCCAGCTTCCTGTGCCAATGCTTGACCGCTGTGTAAGAAAGTCTTCCTAATATCCAACCTTGACCAGTAAAGGTGATGGAGTGAGTTACCAGTAGGTGCAGACGAGTGGGAGAGAGAATTAGGAGGAAGGGCTGAAAATGAGGAGCTCTTCCTTTCTAGTGCCAGTACAGTTGCTGGCACCCCACAGAAGCAGGGGCTGCTGCTCAGGATCACCCCCTTAGGGGAAAAACCCCACCTGAAGGGGCACTGCCTCAGGATTAAGCTTTACTCTCCTTTTCCTCCCGCTCGTCTCCATCTCCTGGAGCTGAATGCCTCTTCCTTGCTCTGAGCCTAATTGCATCCCCAGGGTTTAGCACGCGTGTGTTTGTTTTATTCAACGCGTTGGCTGTTCCCACCGGAACAGGCTTTTTTTTTTTTTTAAGGGATTGGGCTTTTTTGCTTATTGTGCACAACAAGCTACTGCCCGAGATCCTCATTGGGGAGGGGTGGAGGGAGGAACTGTAGTAATGCCAATACTTCTTGAATATTATAAACCTGGCTTATCAGCCCGACGCAGGGCTGGAATTTGTCTCTTCCTGTGCTGCATCTCTGCTTTCTGAGAGGCGCGTTTAAATACAGGCTGGAGACGCAGCCTTCCAGTGCGCTCCGTGAGGCCGTGTCAGCAGGAACGGGGCTTCTCAAGAGGCTTTTATTATTCCTTTTGCATTAATTCCTTTTGAGAAAGGGATTTGTTGGGAAGAAGGCTCTGAGACTGCATGTCCCAACAGTACCAGCTGAAGGAGGTGAAGGCAGACGCGGTTTGTTTCGTACCTGGCTCTCCTCTCTTCTCTGTCCTCATGGAGCCGGCTTCTTTTTGCTACCCCCAGCTTACCTTCCTGCGCTCACCCTATGGGCAGTTTGGGGCGAGTGCTGGCTCTTCACAGGACCTGGCCCCGTGGCCTCAACGCTTAGTGCCGCAGAGATGGAGCGGGCCGGTGGATGGTATGTGAGTGGGCTGGGGACCGAGGAGGGTGGAATTGGGAAGTCGAGATGAGCACTGAGATGGTTGGAGTTGGATGGTGGATGGAAGAGGGAGGTGATGCGCGGAGGGTTGGTGGCTGTGCTGGTGTGGGGTTGTTGGTGTGCTCCCTCCTCTAGATCTCTCCTAGTGACGCTTGCTTGGCTGCTGCCACCTCCATCATGGAGCAGCTGGAGTACCTCAACCAGGGGAGCTGATAAACAACCTCAGCATGGAAAAAATAAAAATAGAAACCATTCTTTGGCAGTCCTTTGTCTTACAAGCTTGCTCATTCACTGATATGAATTCATCAGTGTCTGAAACCTGAAATACCTGCTGGAGGCTCAGCAGGCTTGTTTCACCTTTAGGGCTGCATTGCTTTCAGCTTTATCTCTTAAACTGTTATTAAAGTTATCAAGTGTGGGGATAGGTGATTAAGATCCTTTATTGCAGATTTCAGCACTACAGGGAAGTTCCTTATACGCGCATTAGTTTGGTTCAGAGCTGTCAACACTGTTATTGCAAGGCATCTATATGGGGAAATGGTAAATCCTGTTGTAGGAGTTGAGACTGCTTGAAGTGCCCATCCTGAAGGTTTGTATTTTGTAAAAACTTTTTCAAGAGAGATATTGCAGTTGGTGAAATGAGGTCCTGAGCAGCTTTGATATGGCTCTAAGGCTGCATTGCCTGGAGCGCATTGCTGGGCTGGAGACCTCCAAAGATCTCCCACCCTTAAAGCAAATTTGCTTTGCATCTTAATAACAAGCCAGCAGCCATGCACCTCACCTGGCAAAGCTGGTCAGGTGGCGTGTAAAGAAATGGAGGAAAGCAGCTGAGCAGTCTCAGCAGGGAGAATGCGTGGGAGGTGTTTAAAAACATGAGCTGTGGTTTCATGCAGCGGAAGCAAGCCTGTAGCAGGAGGAGTGAGGATGGGCAGTGTGGCTCTGAAATCCCTCTGCTAAAAGCAATGCCTTTCCCCCACCTCCCTGCGCGTGGAAAGTGTTGGCTGCCTCCTGGTAAATAATGACTGCTGAGGGACTGTTACTTACAGCAACTCGGGATTGCTGTGATGGAAGAGACTTGGAGATGGCAGTACCTGGTGTTTGGAGAACTTGCTGCTTGTTTCTTCCGTAGCTTTCTGCCTTTTGGGAGGCTGACCTGATGCTGTTTTGGGGAGCTGATTTATTCTTCCTCGTTCTTCTTGGCTGGAATAGGTCGCTACTCTGGGCTGTAAGCATCCAGCTGGGGGAGACTTGCCTTGCTGTAATGAGAATCTTGCATTGTAAGGGAAGTAAAGCGGTAGGAATAGAACGGGCTGGAGTGTGGGGGAGAGGATGTGGCATCTTCACCCTCCTCCCTCCCCTCCCAAAGCTTTGTGGGTGCTGCTTAGCAAAGTGCTGGGCTATCGGACTGGGTGATAAACCTCCTTGGATGAGGTGAGCTCTCTTCAGCTCTGTTTTCTGCAACTAGTTGTAACAGCCCGGACTTAGTGCTCTGTTTCCCATTCCCTTACAAAGGCTCCTGGTTTGCTGAATGCCTGTGTTAACCCTTGTGCTGCTGTTGCCTGTGCTGGGAAAAAGACACTGGAGGCAGCTGTGCAGTCAGAGTAGAGCAGCGATGTCTTAAAGAGATTCACTATATCCACTTCTCGGCAGCAGCTTTTCTCCCCTCTCTTCCTTTTGCATCTTTGCATCCTCTTGTTTTCCCTGCACTTCTCTCCTAAGGTACAGCATCTCACTTCTGGTTGAGCCTGGCTGCCACAAAGCCTTTTTCTTTAAGGAGGCACATGAGCTTTCTCTGCATAGCATCCAGCAAAAAGCTCCGGCTCCCAAGTGCAGGGTTGCTTTAATCTGTTTTTCTGCTTTGCTCCCAGAGGGGAAAAGCTCTGGATCTTGGGTGGGGGCTGGAGGAGAAAACAGGAATCCCATCTTGGTGTGAAGTTAGCAGCTTGCTGGCATCCTTTGTCCGGCATTGGGTTTGGGTGCTGGGCTGGAGGTGCCCAGCTGGGAGCTAATGGGTCACGCTCTCACTCCACCCATCTGCCGCTCACCAATTGGAAGTGAGAGAGAAAGATGCTCTGGCTGGATTAATATTGGAGGCACTGAAAAAACACAAGCCATTGCTGCCTCGGCCACCTGAGCAAGTGGCACTGGGGATTGGGTGAATTGGCTCAGAGCAGCCAGGAGAGGAGCGGAGGCTCTTTGGATGGGAACAGCATCTCTACTGAAGAAGTAGTGCAGGTAAGTTGTGGTCTGAAGCAACAATACTGGAACGCTGCTGATGCCGGGTGATGCGTTCAAACAGGAAATCCAGAAAGGCAGCTCTGCCAGCTCTTGAATTATTTAATTCACTAAAGTAAGGCAGTGCTTGATGGATTTTCAGTGGGCTCTGCTGTTCGGTGATGCTGTCTATTGCTGTGCCGGATGTCTGTGCTGTGTTTAAGGATGGAGTGTACCTCCTGAATTCAGTTTACTTTAGCCAGAGTGCTGCCTTTCAGGGGGTGGGTTTAGTTTCAAGTTACCTTGTGCTCATCTCCTTATGCATGTCTTGCCTGTTCTTTTATTTTTTTCCTCTCAAATTAATGCTGAAATATCCTCCCAGATTGCAGGAGAAGGCTTTACATACTGATGTGTTTCACGTGGGGAAAGTGCAGTGCTGAGTGAAAACAAAATGCATGCGTGTGATGTAAAATGCTAGCAAGCATCGTTCCTGATGCTGTAGCCATGGAAGCCATGCAGACGAACCATAAACAGTGTCCTACTGATAAACACTCTGACATGTGTTGTCAGTTGGTAATTATTTCATCACTGGACCAAAGCGTTTTTATTTTGGGTTGATGATGGATGGCAAGAATTGATGTGGAGCTGCTGGCTCTCCTCTTGCCCACGTTGTTGTTCTTGTCACTGTTGTTTGCTGTTTAGTGGCTCCTGGATATCGAAATGCTATGGTGTTGCTCGTGCCATCCTGTCGAGCCTGTTGGGATATGAAATCACTTCTGTGGGGAGGGCTGAGGCTGAAGGAATCAGCTGCCTGCCTTTGCTTTTTCCTTTAGGCTGTTTTTAATACTGGGGGGTGCTTTCCTTTCAGGTATCTTTCCTGACTGAAAATATTTCCTGGTATCTTTCCACAGCTGAAAATTTGATGTGCTTGGTGATCATTTGGCTGACCACTGCTCTACTTTCGTCCCTTCTTGCTTTCAGTATAGATCGTGGTTTCAATCTTCTGGTTTTGTGTGAATGAGAGCAGGTCTTCTGATCCATTCAGATGGTTTTTTGGGCAGTGGATTTGGGAAGAGATACAGGGTAAGCTTGGTCATCCACAACTGTCTCTTTAACAACACTTTTCCTGCTTAATGGCAATAAAAACTTTGTAGTAATGTACTTTACATTCCCAAACATGGTCCTGGTGTCCTGGGGAATGGTAGAGTGTATACTGCTGCTGTTGGAGCACTTCTTCCACCAGAATCCCAAACCTGAGGTGTGTAGTTCCTTATTTCCACTTTGCAGCTTAATTTTTACAGCATTTAATCCAGCTGAACCATTGCAGGGAGCAGCTCTACTCCTTTAAGCCCCAAGCAGGTGGAATTTCTACTGACTTAAACCATGTTGGCATGTTTTACACAGCAGCACTGATGGCCTCTGAAGGACCTTCAATTGTGGGGAAGGATTTCAACCAAAAACACAACAGTCACCTTTTAAAACCACCCTTTTTCAACCCATATCCAGTCCTGACCAAGATTTGGCGCTGTAGCCTTATCTCTTTCGATGGGAGCTATGAGATTTTCTTGATAAAGCCTTGCAAGTGAAAAGAGCCATCTGAAAAGCTGTCAGTAAGAGTTAAAGCTTTCTAAATTATTTAAGTGTTCAGGAAAGGTCTACTGGAAAGCTTCTGCTGGTTGGTCCTTGGGTCTTTGCCAGCTTGTGGGATCTCTGGAGGTATTTGCTTTCACTCCTCTCCAGGTAGCACTCATGGAAGAAATCCTTACAAGTCTTAAATCACATTTTTAGAGGTCCCAACAAAACCTGGGAGTTAAAATAAATAAAACTAATGGCCCAAATTGTTCATTTGTCAGCCAAATCCCAAAGTGCTGTTGTCCCCCAGCTCCGTGGCTTGCTTTGGTCACCTGTGAGATGATGGCCAAGAAACCTGTCCAAGGAGGAAGAGCAAAGCAGCTGCACTGCTCTTATTTCCCAGTGTTTGCCTCCTCACCTCTGGGAGGCACCCTTGGATGTTAATTGCTTGGGGTGAGCTCAATTGTGATGAGTCAACCTGGGCAGCCTGCTGCCAGCTTTCTGCATGCGTATTTTTTTGGGGAGAGGAGGTTTTGCCAGCTGCGACAGTGACAACTACTATTTTTCATTAGGTAGTTTTATTGCAATGGGTGTTCTGGAGGAAGCTGGGGAAAGCGATGAAGGGGAGGGGGAATTACTCAATGCAGTAAGGAAAATGCTTTGAAAGCAGGCTCGTCTGATCCCTGAGCCTGTGTGTGGGTGGGTGTTTGCCTGGGAGTGATGAGCAGGCAGGAGGATGCTTCCTGCTCTATTCTTTCAGTGTGATGTTTCTCTATTTTTACAGCTAGCGACTGTGAAAATGAGTCCTAGGTTTTTTTTTGTTTGCTGGAGTGACCATCGCATGATTTAAGGTCTCTTTGCACTGCTTTCCCTGCATCAGAAGAATATCCAGCTCCTCATGTATGGGCCCAGATTAAATGCTTTAATGCTTCCTGAACTGTGGAGCCATAAAATTGCTGTACTGGCATCCTAGAGTGGTCATACTGTGGTGAATATTTTAGCTGGACCCAAGTGACTCCAGTGCACCACGGGTTGCCCTAGGAGATGTCAGACTGTTGTTGCTGTGTCTTCCAAAACACAACAAAATTGAGCTTTCTCGAGGAGTTTTAGAGTTTAGGTTCAGGTAACCCAGACCGTGGTGTAAAATAAATAATAAATAATAGTATTGGGCTTTGTAACCTATCTGGGAAGCA